TGACCACACCCTCCTGACCACACCTTCTTGACCACACCCTCCTGGCCACACCTTCCTGACCACACCTTCTTGACCACACCCTCCTGACCACACCCTCCTGACCACACCTTCCTGACCACCTTCCTGACCACACCTTCTTGACCAAACCTTCTTGACCACACCCTCCTGACCACACCTTCCTGACCACACCTTCCTGACCACACCCTCCTGACCACACTTTCCTGACCACACCTTCCTGACCACACCCTCCTGACCACACCCTCCTGACCATACCTTCCTGACCACACCCTACAGACCACACTTTCCTGACCACACCCTCCTGACCACACCTTCCTGACCACACCCTCATGACCAAACCTTCCTGACCACACCCATCCTGACCACACCTTCCTGACCACACCCATCCTGACCACACCCTCTTGACCACACTTTCCTGACCACACCCTCCTGACCACATCTTCCTGACCACACCCTCCTGACCACATCTTCCTGACCACACCCTCCTGACCACACCTTCTTGACCAAACCCTCCTGACCACACCCATCCTGACCACACCCTCCTGACCCCACGATCAGTAAAAAATGAACTTATGGCTCATTTGATGATGACCGGACTGTAAATATTCCACTTTGCATATTTTCTCAGAAAACAGAAACAAACGTAAAATTCACATCAAAGAATCAGATTTGCAGTTGGAGAACACTTTTCTTTCTGTTCATCTGTATGTGGGCTCTGATTGGTCAGATTATTAACGTTTCTCTCAGATTATAATTTTCACTCTTTGTGGCCTCCGTTTGAAAAGTCTTCTTCTGGTCTGGTGGACAGGAAGTGGCTCTAAAACTAAACCTGATCCCGGATGTTTCTGCTGCGTTCAGCTTCTCTTCCGCTCTCGATTCCTAAAGTTTTTTTTCGACCTCTGGCGTTTAAACGATGATGGGATGACGGTTGTGTCTAATCCCAGCCGGCTGAACGTTGAAAGTTGCTGTTCATGAGGGGATCGATGACTCGGCCCGGTTCCAGGTCCAAACTTTGAAAATCTTGTGCAGCTCGACCCCTGAACTGAGTTCAGTTTGTCGTCCAATCAGATTGCAGGAAAGTTTAAATCCGGACGTCTGTGACTGGTCAGGAGTTCAGAGTTTGACCACGTAGGATTGGACCAGCCGCTGGTTCCGGGTCGGTTCTGGTGGTTCTGGTCATGCAGCGCGTTGATCCCAGTGTTACGACTAAAAGAAGTCCTCTGGAGTTCTGCGGTTTGTTGTTGCACATTTGAACATCAGGGGTGTGTGTGTGTGAGCGTGCACGTGATGTATTTATATTTTGATGGTCTGCAAACAGATTTTAAAGTGACAGACATTAAATGTTGACTACACCAGCTTCAGCCTCGTTTTGTTTTTGTGTGTTAGCAAAATATCTCCTGGATGTGCAGATTGAGATGAGCAGGAAGTTTTCACAGGATGTGGAACTACAACCGGCTCCAGACGGTGCTGAGCTAAAGGTGGTGGCGCTCCGTGCACGACGTGACGTTGCATCCAACACATTCCAACAAAGGTCTTGTGTGTTTGTTAGCCCTCGGAGTGCGTGTTGGGAACTACCCTCTGCTACTACCACGCCATCTTTAGCTCCGTTCAGTAAAACACAACTTTATTTGTAAAGTTCTTTAAAACAACACCTCTGACCAAAGTGCTGAACATTAAGAATTAAACATGAAAAGATTTAAACGAGAATAAAACCAAGATTTATTAAAAGTTAAAAACAAAAAACGTCTCGAACTGAGTTCAAAGACAAACAGGAAAAAGTTTCAGGATTTAAAAACAGGAAGTGAGGATTTAAAAACAGGAAGTGAGGATTTAAAAACAGGAAGTGAGTCTTCGCCGCAGGTGCAGGAGTTTGAGGATCTGGGCGTTTTGTTCCTGAGTGGGGATGGAGCGGGACATGGATCCATGGGTCAGGGCCTCGTCTGCAGTAATGAGGGTGTTGCTCCAGTCAGTTGTAATGAAGAAAGAGCTGAGTCAAAAGATAAAGTTCCAGATATACTGGTCCATCTACGTTCCAACCCTCACCTGTGGTCACGAGGTTTGGATCAGGACTGAAAGAACCAGATCCTGGATTAAGGCAGGTGAAATGGACCTGTCGCCTCCATGACCTGACTACGACAAGAAGATGGAATGAAAGTGAGTCGGTCTGACGGATGAGGACGCCCGGTCACCTCTTTGACTTCAGGACGACCCACAAGAACTGATCTGGGAACCTGAGGGAACGTGGAACTGCAGCAGGTCCTACAGACTCTGGGCTGAGACCACGATGGCTTTTAAAAACAAATCAACTTTAAGAATCAACCCAGAAACAAAGTGGGCGGCGCCACTTCAGTGAAGCTGAAAGCCGCTCTGTAAACACGACCGAAGACTTTTGAAATGTTGCAACGTGTGTTTAAAAAGACGATTTGTGTTTTGATGCCTGCGCCGCTCCAGGTGGCTGCATGTTGGAGCGGTTTCTTTCATTCTGAGATTTTGCTTTTGGAAACTTTAATTCCTCTTTTTCTGGAAGTAAATCACGTTTTTGGGTGATTGTTTCGTCTGGTGTCGGATGCTGCGCAGCTGGAAGGATCTTTACTGAAACTTTTTTAGTTTTGGACATTTGTTATGATGCGTAACCATGGCAACAAGGTGTTTTTTAACAACCAGGAGCTGCTGATTAACATCTCAACTACAGCCCCAAGTCTCAAATGAGATGAAAAGGAGGTGCCATAGATGCATTCCCGTCTCCCTGCTAGCTGTGCTCGAGTGCCTGACCACTGAGATCCTGGAACTGGCAGGAAACGGGACGTGCGACATCAGGACCGGGATCGTCGCCCGACACCTGCAGCCGTCTGTCCACAGTGAGGAGGAGCTCAACAAGCTGCTGGGAGGAGTGACCATCACTCAGGGAGGGGTTCAGCCCGGGGGAAGTGAGAGGCCAGCTGGGTCTGGGTGGGCGGATCAGACAGTTCTGTGGAGTTTTATCAAACTTTGTTGTTCAATAAAATTTAGCAGACTGAGAACTTTGTTGAAAACCACGTAGCAACGTTTATTTCTCTTCTGCAGAAGGAGAGAACACATGGAACGGAAACGCAGCCCAAGAGTTCTCGTGTTCTCCAAAATCACGAGCAGTGCAGTCTCATTTGTACTCCTTCACAGTAACAAGTTTCGACACGACAGGCGTCAACCCAATCTTATCAGGGTCAAAACAGACGGTACGTTTGTGGTCAGTGACCGGTTCTGGAGCTGGGTTTCGTACCGGCAGTCTGTGAGAAACAAACGTTGAAAAGCTTCACACACTCATGATGGAGAGGTACAGCTGCTACAGCTTTAGACCAACTTTAACGGAGTGTGACATAAAGTAAATGACTAATAAGAGTGAGGATGAACTTGAACAAAATAAACTGGGATCAATGTTTCCATTTCCACAAAGTGCTGATCCTTTCTGAGACTCGGAGCTAAACTGCAGGCGAACACTTTAATTATCTTTTTAAAGTAAACTGTAAATTGTGTAAACATATCAAACTTTTATATTAACAACCCAGAAAATATCAAGAGTTCCTTTGGCTCCGCTGTGGGACAGACCTTTACGAGAACTCCTTCCTGCCATCAGCATCTTCTGCATCTCATAATGAAACGAGGATAACGAGTTATTTCATTTCCCTTTGGGGTTAAAATATTTTTCAATTGGAGTTACCGTTGATGTTTTGTCTGCGTCTTGTCCCGGTCGTCCTCGTAAACAAGAACTAGTTCTAAATGGACTTCTGCGGTAAATTAAATGTTCTCATTACCTCTGATGTAACAAGTGAAGAACTTTGTGTGTGAAATTAATGAAGAGGAACTCTCGTGGTTCTTGGCCCTCTCTGAGCCCACGTTGGTCC